GCTATTTAGTTGTTAATAACGCGTTATTAACAATTAAACAACAATAATCTAAAATAAACTAAACCTAAAATACTCTTCGGAGCATTTCAAGATTAGAACTTCAATTTAAACATCTGGGAACTTAAAAGATGATCAGTTTCAATCAAAAGCGTTGAAGAAGAATTTTTAGGCATTTTCAATCTTCGCTCATTACTCGAAAAACGTTATTGTTGCTCAAAATGCTCAAAAAGCTTGAATAAACCCTGAAGGGCGGTCGGTAATTTGTTTAAAAAAATTATTTAAACAAATTTGTTAATCGAGTTTGAAAACTTCTTCCACAAATGCGAGGTTTCCGTTTTCTCCAATAGGACCTCAAAAGTGAATGAAACAAAGAAATCCTTATAAAGCTGTAATTGTATCATCGGCTAACACGATGTGTCACTAACTAGTGATCACAACCTCCTTCTTCTGTCTGTCCGTTTATGACAAGCACTTTTTTATACTTGAGCCATCACGGAGGCCCCGTGCGTGTCATGGGACTATGGGTGGATATATGGGACAGGGAGAAAGTGACACGGACTCTAGCGAGTGCACAACATTTAAAAAACACATAGATATTTTCATTGGTTAGTTATACACTCTTTAAATTGTTTTGTTTGTTTTATACTCTGCTTGTTTATGCGTATGACTATATTTCGATACTACTTTGTAGCCAAATGGAAATAAAATTTACTATATTCCATTGCTTGTTGAACAAAATCGAATATTCGAACTAAAATTGGCAACAGTAGATTTTAGCATGAGTAGTGAAAAGTGCGAGAAGTATTCCCCAAATGGGTTGTGATTCCTCTCGCGATCAATCAAACTGAGTGCAAACATTTTTTTCAGAGATTATGAATGACATAATCACCATTTTATATTCCTGGCTACGCGAGTTAAGGCTCATTAACTCATTGGACAATATCGTTAACGATAATTCTATGCATAATTGCACAATAAATCTATCACCATGGCATCATGCCACACGACATGACAAGTGCCAGCCATAAATGCTCGAAGGAGTCAAAATGATTAGATGTTTACATAGAGTGATGTTTTTTGATAGCATCACTGTAGCTGTTCATTCACTTGGATATGTTCGGCAATTTATCTTACAAATATTTATCAACGGACGCGGTTGATGCATTAGGTGTGCGTTAATGGTTGTATGCGTTCAAAGGAGCGGTACGTTTAATGGGCAGTCTATATTTCAGGTTGTCTGCAGGAAGGTACAAATATGAATGAAAAACATCACTGAAAAAAATGTGGAGCATCGGTATTATGCAGTTTGACCACCATGTTTCTGATAGAAACGAATCTTTCCGGATCAAGAACATTGGATTTGCATGTTTATAGGTCTTTGAATATCTCGTGGATTGTGGCGGTTAGTCTATTGAATTAATTTTGTCCTGCGATGGCAAAAATCTATGATCTGATTTGACTGACCTATAATTTATTTTCAAAAATGTCAGAAAAAGGGTCACGGATAATCAATCACCTCTAGTACGAATATATGTATCTTCACAATTTGTACAAGAACTAAAGCTAAATACCGGGGTACCGTGACTGCTATAAGGAACTTAAGAAGCTTTGATAATCATATTTTTCAACTGCAGAACTGGGAAATACCTCTTCAGACAGACTGTTTCGACACCCTAATAACGAAGGAGTGGTCAAACTCGCCAGTTCTCGATGTGCGAAGCTCATCAGAGCTGGGATGGGAGGCAGAAGCCTGGTGGGTGCATCTTGGAGGAGAGCTCTGACGAGCAAAGCCTGTTCACATTGCGGTAAGATCGGTCACCGCTTGACGGTGCGAAAGGCCACCGAGGTCTTCCGTTAGAGAAGTGACATTGAACAGTCAAACAGCTCTCCGCTGAGCATCAAGTACGGACAATGTGAGCAGGGCGGCAGAACCCCAAACATGTGAGCAGTACTCGATGCTAGGACTTGTATGGTTTTGTACCTGAGACTCTCGCGTTTCATTTGGCTTGAAGAATATGACCGACTTCCCGTCTTTCAGAGAGGGTCTGTAGGCCTCACCGTTGCAGATCACCATCTTCGTTATTAACTATGTTGACATAAGTGTCATGGCTCCGCCAATTAAAGTGTATTCACTAACGGTATGCCGCAAGAATATTCTTATAATAGAGATTACATTAACAAATTGTCAATAGGGGAACTCGGTAATTGGAAGTACTAATCATCTATTAGCATATTCTAGGACGATTACGGCATGGCCGAGATGCTTCTCCATTCAAATCAAATATATCATGCAGTATGTGCCTTAAAGGAAACGATATAGTAGGTAATTGATTCCAGTGATGGGTGAAATTAATAGAGCACCTTTGAGCTCATTGATATGCAAAGAAAGGCTGAGAAACTGGATTCAATCAATTGATCTCACGTTTTATAGTAAACATCATTGTGGCAAACTTTGCATTTAAATATGCTATCGGTACATCTGAGATTTTTCTGCATCCTACACCACAGACGTCATACATACAGATGCGACAATGACTAACGGTCACTTTTGATAACAACTATTTGGCAACTATCCTACCAAATACCATGGACGCCCGCAGGAATTCTTCCAAAGAGGGTCATCAGTACATACACCCGATTGTGCTCCCGTAACTCTTTGAAAAGCAAAATATAGCTTCAAAAGAAGATGTCGTGGGAATGTGTGAGTCAACAAAACATTTTGCAGAGCAGGAGGAGGCAACATATTTTTATGGGTTACTAAAAATGCGCTCTCTGACATTCGTTACATTTTATCCTACTTTTTACTAATATTATAATCCTATCTAATCTCACTTAATATTATAAATGAGAAAGTAGAGATGTTTGTTATTCAATCACGCCAAAATGGCGAAACGGATCTGGATGGTACAGAGGTGGATTGTCTGAAATAGCACGTAGGACACTTTTCATCCCGAGAAATAGCTTTGAAGTATCTATTTCACGAGCTTACACCCAAATTGACTCAATGGAATTTGACATTTGATGTCATACTGTAAGTAAATAGTTACTGGGTTCTATTGTACTTATAATGTAGTCCCACCAATCCTACTGATATTACAACTGAGAAAGTGTTGATATTTGATACACAATAACGCCAATATGTCCAAACTGATATGTATACAATTTGGTGCAAAGATAGAATATAGTCTGGTATAGCACATATGATACTTTTTATAACGGGAAAGGGCTGCAGTACCAAATCTCCAATGCCATCTTCTGGATGAAAATAAATGCCAAAAAAAAACGTTTGGTCGTTCACTTCGGAAAAATAAAAGTTATATGATGCCGGTTTTCAAGCTTTACGTTAAAATATACCAATCATATATAAAATTCATCGCCTCCAGCTTTCTGACTTGATACCTTCTGAAAATAAAGTGTGGGGGGGTCTTACCGAAAAGCACATACATCGCCATATTTTTCCGTATCATAGTTCATAAATTTACTGATTGCGACTTTTCTGGCCGATAATTAAAAGAAAAAATGGTATTAAGAAATTTACTGACGTTTCGGCTGTAATATCGATCTTACAGCTACTCTGGAAATAGACAAACAGAGAGAGCAAATATTTTATCTGAGAGCTTGCTATATATCTTAACTGAAATGACAACTTTTTTAACGATAGCAAAAGTCACTTTCTTCCGATCAAAGGTTGATAATTATTCAAATATAATAGCCAACTAAAACAAGAAACCACACCTATACTCATACAGTGAGCATATCTTTGTTTAAGACCCTAAAGAATTATTTGTAAATCCAGTCCAAACAATTATCTTCTTCCACTTGTTTGTTTGTACATTTTCCCATGAGGCCTTATTTATACAAGGCGCTATTTAACTGAATGCTTGTTTGGCTTTTAAGTTAAACTAAAATGTGAGAAGTACACTGCCATCTTGAAATTCCCACCTTTGGGGGACATACGTTGCACTTTCATTCATACAAGTGCCATAGCAACAGCAATAGATTGTTCATTGGTCACATTGATGCTATAATGATGCATATACGAGGGTTGAGGATTAAGGAGGTTGAAATGTTGATATAATTTTTGAACTAATTGAAGTTAGTAGAGTTTGGAAAACATTTTCAGTCGGAGTTGGATGAGGCCTGGCTGGTCTAACTAGCATGTCTAGAATGCACAGGGTGGCCAAGCCCATCGGCATCTCTTGGTGCTTTTTTGTGTTTAAAACACTTTGTATCGATAATCAACTTCACCGACTGCATTCAGCCTGCAGAGAGCATTCAACAGTTCATAAAATGAAAAAATGTCAATTAATGTTAATGTCCTAACCACGTGTATAACCCGCACCTAAAATATGAGAACGTACGTACGGTGAGGATCTATGTTTACCTATTTCCGTTAACACATGTTTTATAGATGGATACAACCTTGCCTTTTATGCATAATCTTTGAGGTCAATCTTCAAACATTTCTGGTAATTAAACACAGAACGTAAGTTGAGCATCAGCTCTATTTGAAACTGGATCTTGCATTTTTAAAAGCAGCTTGATATTGGAATTATGATCACATAAATCGTTTTTGATAAAGTTGCTCAAGCAAATCTCTTACTCTTTAGGTATTTGTGACAGAATTTTTCAGTAAATTTGCTTAAACTTATTTACTTGAGTATATGTATTTCACATTATTGGACACATATCCTCGACCGTGCTTTTAACTTAACTTGGTTCATTTGATTATATGTGACACTGCCTATATTGAACAATCAAGAATATCACAACTCTGTATGATATTTGCAATGATTTAAATGATTCATGATGGATCTTTTTAAGTCTATTATTTATTACATCTTCACAGTATATACACCCCACCCGCATAAATCAAACGGTGTCCGCTGGGCCCCATTTCCAAGGGGGAAACGGTCTACATAAAGTATGGCTGAGCTTTGCCCTTATAAAGGATATATTTTGCTAGGAATGACATACTGATGGAACTACTTCAATGTTTTATGGCTTTGGATGAACTTTGGTGCGAAGCAGCCGACAACGTAAAGGTTATAATGAATAAGTTTCAATTAGAGTATTTTATGTTGACATTGATATAATATGTTATTTGGAAACTTGGCATCAAGGCTCCACACAAGTTGGAAGCGCGTAATGATATCTAGCCTCATTATGGCTTTGTACCATTAAGTTCTACGTCAGAAGTTGTTATTTTTATGTAATAATCAAAGTCCTGGAAATTGGTGAACATTATGCTCAAAGAGTCATACATATAGGCCAAGCAAATAAAAGCGTGTTAAAAGAGAATTGAATTAGTAAGACTAAGAATAACCATTGACTAACGTATTCTATCTGAAGAATAGCCAACCATGTTAGTGTATTTTGACGTGCAAAGGACTATACGAGATGAAATGGGATACGAAAATTATTGGTACTAATGAGACAAAATGTTTAGACAATTTTTGAGACAATTGTGGAACTGAAACATGCAGGCTCATCAAAGAGGGTCGTTTCTAAATACGATTATGCAAAACACCGAATCTAAATATCATCCAACAAAAATAACAAATATGTAAATAATTTCAGAACAATATCCACAGTAGGCGTAGCCTGTGAGTGGAAGCTACTTAACCTATTTGAGGGATATAGCAAAAATATTGCACAATACTGAAAATTTACATAATACGTGATACAATAATATAAAAGTAGTAAGTCATTTGTATAGACAGAAATGTAGATGTCCGAGGGATGTCTTTTAAGTTTTGTATATAGAAACATAGTAGGCCGCGCGGATAGAACGTCAGTACTGAATCTTAACCTCACCACTCTTCAGTAAACTTAAATTCAAAGTTTCATAACAGTACGTGCAGTGTTCTCACTACAGTGAATTTTTAAGTGTCAACAAGTCATTAGAAAAATGGAACTCAACCGAGAACATTTTCGCGCCATAATTTATTACAACTTTCAGAGACAATTATCGCAACAAGAATGCCTTGCTGAGTTGCTGTCTGTTTTCGGCAACGAAGCGTCACATCAGTCGACAATTTTCCGTTGGTATGGACGGGTGAGTCTTAGCGACAATCCCACGGAAAACGTCGATGCTGTGCGCAAACTCATAATTGAAGATAGACATGTGACATATCGCGAAATTGAGACGTCCTTGAAGATCTCAAAGACCTCAATTCAAAAAATTTCACATGAAGAACTAGGAGTAAGAAAATTAGTTTCTCGTTGGATACGCCACCTGCTGACTGAAGAGCAGAAAGCAGCCAGGGTTAATTGGTGTTAAAAAACGCTTGACAGTTTTAATTCCGGAAACTCAAAAAATGTGTACAGCATTGTTAGTGGTGATGAATCGTGGATTTACTGTTATGAACCAGAAAATAAACGACAGTTGGCTGTTTGGGTGTTACAAGGTGAAGAAAAAAGCCAACAAAAGTCATCCGTTCTCGAAGTGTTTCGAAAATGATGGTCGAGACATTTGTGTCAAAAGCGGGTCATATTGCAACAATTCCTCTTAATGCGCAAAGAACTGTTACTACGGATTGGTATACCACCACTTGCTTGCCAAAAGTCATCACCGAGCTTCGAAAAATCAACCCCGAAAGAAGAATCATCCTCCACCAAGACAATGTAAGCTCTCACACAGCCCAAATAACAAGGCAGTATTTAACGGAAGAAAACGTGGCATTATTGGAACATCCTCCATATAGTTCCGATCTAACTCCTAAAGATTTCTTTACCTTCCCGAAAATTAAAAACAGACTGCGTGATCAAAGGTTCCAGTCACCAGAAGAAGCAGTTGACGCATTCAAAAATGCCTTTTTGGATCTGCCAGCAAACGAGTGGAATAAGTGCTTCGAAAAGTGGTTTGAGCGCATGCAGATGTGTAGAATACTTCGAAAAACAATAAAGTCATTTAAAACTACCTACCGTGTTGTTTTATTTCCATATGCAAAACTTAAAAGACATCCCTCGTATAAATAAGTACATTAGTCTGGGATACGTTTTAATTTACCAAGATCATTGTACACAATCAATTTTCAATATAATTTTGAATAACCGTTCGCTCAACAGTAAAATCCAATCATTTAAACTTTTACAAATTTAACCCGTGTATCATTTACACCAAGCTGATGTACCATATGTAACATATATTATGTGGTTTTCAACTAACGCGGTGTATAATATACGGAGGTGATTTTATGTAAAGACATCCGAAAGTATTCACATTACTAATTTTTTAACCATATATAGAATATGTTTTACCCATTTTCTTCATTTGTCTCTAGCTAACGGTTAATGCCTAGCACAAGTTGATCTTTTTGGGATTTTGAGTTTATTGTACAATTGTATTATTGGAATGTATACCTTGTAAATTATTCATTTCCTACATAAAAAACACTACTACCGTTTTAAATGGCAGTCTATGAATACTCCGAGCTATTTTAATGTATCAACTCTACCAATTTTTGTTTGTTGCCCACGGTATTCAACAGAAAGCCCTCCAAAAATAAGCAAATATTTTGGATAAGAAGTGCAACCTGACAACCAGGGACTCGCGGGTACAAATCTCGGCCTCGGAAGGTAATGCCTTGCTATGAATGTTGTGTTGTCTTATATCACACACGTGGTGCAATATTAAAAGGTACATCAAATTGTTTCGAAGTGCTCCAGCCCTCGGCTTTGTACATTCAAGGGTGTCCTCGGTAAGAGATAATTTTTCTCATACTATTAACTTTCAATGAGTCGTTCAGATATATAGGTTAAATAGAATAGCCAGAGCACTATATTGTTGATCAGTTTTTGAATGTATGTATCAGATATTTTAACAGTTTGTAGGCGGTTCAGAAGGTAATTCTTCATCAAGAGTTGTGGTTGGCCGCTGAACGCCAGTCTCTCTATAACCCTCAAAAGCTCAGGATGCCTCGAGATAACAATAAGTAGGTGTTTTGCTATCGATATTAGAACTGATCATTTTATTTTTGTTTATAAGCTGTAACTTTCTCATATGTAATGGTCTGTAATTTGATATTTCTAACTTGCTGCGGTGTTTGTAAATAGGAGTAACAACTGTTATTTTAAAGGCGTCAGGTCAACCTTCCAGACTGACACCTTTCAGCAAACAGTACCGAAAATAATAACACCTTTCTACACATATCTCTGTCCATTACCGATGCATTTTCAGAAAAATCTGTGAACCGTTAGAGGGATTTTGTGGAACTCAATAATTATTCGAACAATGTGGTATTGAAGACGAGCATAAGAGTACTGTTAGAAAGGTGGACAAAAGCACAGTTAAATAAATAAACACTTCTCTCTGACGCGGCTATATGCGAACGCTTCTGATTCTGTGGACTGATAGGGCCATTATGATACGAACAGCCGTTCTAAATACCGTGGACGTTGTTGGGTAAGGTCATCATTATCAATAGAAAGGGCTATTATGTGCCCACGCCTTTCAGAACTCATGTTCGTACATAATAATAGTGCGTAACAAGGTAGAAAATTAGATTATATTTTTCATAGAATGATTCCTTTGGATCACTGTTACTGGATATATTTAATCAGGTTTTCGATACGATGCTAATGGAAATGGAATCCTTCAATTAGAGAAGCAAAAACGATAGTGGGGTTAACCTGACTTTACTTCATGGTATCAGTTCTTTGATAACATACGAAGAAATTAAAGAATCGGAATGTGGCACTGGAATTTTTAGTAATCAAATCATTTTTTGATTTGATTGATGTCCAATATATTTTTGTTGTTTGCTTTAAAATTTCTTATTTTAACACTATTCTATAACAAGGCTTTTTGAGGCTTTCGATGTTAAAGTTCCACAGTCGCTGGGTTGAAAACAAGGCGTACTGAACTTATGCTATCACGTGATTAAATATAATACTTATGGGAAGATGGATCTAATAAGTACTTACAAGAGGACTCTAATCTTGAGTACGTTTGCATAAAGTACGTAGTTCTCACGTGTAAAAAAACAATGTGAAAGAAAATTAAATCATATAAGATGAACAGATCTTGATTTGATTGATGTCCAATATAATTCTGTTGTTTGCATTAAAATTTCTTATCTAACACTATTCTATAACAAGGCTTTTTGAGGCTTTCGATATTAAAGTTCCTCAGTCGCTGGGTTGAAAACAAGGCGAACTGAACTTACGCTATCATGTGATTAAATAAAATACTTATGGGAAGATGGCTCTAATAAGTACTTACAAGAGGACTCTAATCTTGAGTACGTTTGCATAAAGTACGTAGTTCTCACGTGTAAAAAAAAAACAATGAGAAAGAAAATTAAATAATATAAGATGAACAGATCTTGATTTGATTGATGTCAAATATAATTCTGTTGTTTGCATTAAAATTTCTTATCTAACACTATTCTATAACAAGGCTTTTTGAGGCTTTCGATATTAAAGTTCCTCAGTCGCTGGGTTGAAAACAAGGCGAACTGAACTTACGCTATCATGTGATTAAATAAAATACTTATGGGAAGATGGCTCTAATAAGTACTTACAAGAGGACTCTAATCTTGAGTACGTTTGCATAAAGTACGTAGTTCTCACGTGTAAAAAAAAACAATGAGAAAGAAAATTAAATAATATAAGATGAACAGATCTTGTGCAGATATCCAACGTACGCGGTACATAAATATAGGCAGTGTGTAATTCATAATACATTTAGCATTGTTCTTGTGGGTAAAACATCTTCTATTCTTTTCAAAGCCATTTTAAGGATAGTTTTACGGTAAAATATAACAGAACTCCTAATTATAATGAAGAAGAGATAAGCCGGCTGGATTGTAAAGTGTTCCCAACGAAAATGCTGCATAACAAAGGGTAGTGGCATATGTATACGTTATATGTATAATTATTTGAGGTTGAAATTTAAGCGAGCTAAGAAAAATGTGTGTATTGAAGCTATAATGTCGTCAATATATATTATGTTCTGAAGGTAAGAACTTCTCTTTTCATGAACAATAACAAAGCTTATATGCGCTAAAATGGCAACAAAAATGTCGAAAATACATTGAAGAAAGCTACTTACTATTTTAAATCTTGCCCTGTTGCATGTTTTTTTGGAGCATAGTAGCTCATTTATGTTGAAGCTTTGGTGTGGTGTTACAGGGAAAGATTGCTTATTGTTACATGAACTATAAGCTGTGTAAAGGAAACTCCCGACTTTAAGTACAACCCCTATAGCTGCAGCTATCTTATTGTGTTCCATTAAGAATACATATTAACGTTTTTTAACTAGGTTACTTTATAACAATTTTGATGGCACAACCTGATAAGTTAACTATGCTTGTGTATCATTTCCTTAAAGCCCTAGACATCTGAAATATGTGGTCTGTTTGTAATATCCCAGAGATTCGCAGCAACATAAAATCTACCGCATACGTGTGCACGTGGGACTTGCAGCAATACTCATCACATGCATGTTTGAATTTCTGTTTCTTGTACATTTTAAGTATAGTGACAATAATCACAGTATGCTTTGTTTATATGAATGATATCAACTACAGATGTGATTTTGTTAAATTTGATGACGGTATCACAGTGTTGGATTTGATATTGAGAATTAATAACAAAAGTGTAAAAGTCACATCTGTCTATCGACCACCATCATCAAACCCTTATACATTTGTAGAAAATCTTGAAAATTTTTTGTTAGACAACAAAAATGCCATACAGTCACACCACATCATAATAGGAGATATGAATATTAATATACTCCAACATACCAAATTAGTAAACAAATACCTCACTGTAATGCAGAGCAATAGATTCATATCAAATATAAATTTACCAACAAGAGTAGTCAATAATAGTTCCAGTTCTTGCATTGATCATTGTTTCATCAAAAATTTTTCAAATTTCTTTCGGTACATACCGTTAATTGTTGAAAACCATATTACCGATCATTTACCCACTGTAATACTTATATCATCACCAGAAAAAAATAAAAGTAGATCCATCTCCAATAATGAAACAGTGAAATTTAGGTGTTTTGTCGATAATAAAAAACTACTTGCAAATATCAAATTAGAATCATGGACAGCAGTGTACTGTGCAACAAATGTTAATGATGCTGCAAACACACTCATTGAACGCATAAAATATTTAATTGAATGTAGTACAAACAGAGTTAAAATTAAACATTTTGACAGAAGCAGGAATACCTGGATAACTAAAGGTTTGATAAAGTCTGCCAACAAAAAAGAGGAACTATACAAAATAATGAAAGCATCGCCATGTGCAGATACCTCCCATAAATATAAAGAATATAAAAATATTTTTATCAATCTAGTTAGAGAAGCAAAACGACAAATTTTATCTAAAAAAATTACAAGATGCCAAATCTGATCCAAGAAAACTGTGGTCAGTTGTCGATCACTTAACTAACAAAGACGTTCAAGAAAAGCCAAATATTGATGAAATTAAGAATCGTGATGGAACAATATTAACAGATAAACGACAAATATCCTTTGCATTCTTAAATTTTTTCATCAATGTTGGAGAAAATTTAGCATCCAGTATTAAAAAAATGGTTTCGAACGAAAAGTTCACAAAAACCAAACTTCCCAATTCATTCTTTTTAGAAAGCGTTAGTCCGATTGAAGTACAAGAAGCTGTCCTATCACTTAAAACCAAAAAAAGTCCTGGTGTAGATGGTATCGAAGCCGACTATTTAAAAATAATAGCCTACGACTTAGCCGAACCACTTTCATACGTCATTAGTTGGTGTTTCCAATCTGGAATTTGTCCTGATGCATTTAAAACAACTGTTATTACTCCTGTTTATAAAAGCGGTGACAGAATGGAAACATCAAATTATAGACCCATATCAGAACTATCGAATATAGCCAAAATTTTCGAAAAATTAGTACAAAAAAGGAAATTACAATTTTTGGACAGAAACAAAATTATATGTTCTGACCAATATGGACTTAGAAAAGGAAAATCTACTACAGATGCAATTTTGGCATGCAATGGATGAAATTAACTCTAATGTCAACAAAAAGATACCTACTATTGGTATCTTTGTTGATCTAAAAAATGCC